CCTTTGTGTTCCACTCAGACCCTCAACTGACTGGTCAGAGCCCATCCCAGGTAGCAGGGCCCCCTGCTTTCCTCAATCTGTGGATTTCAATGTTCGTCTGATCCAGAAACAGCCTCACAGGCACACCCAGGATCATGTTTGACTGAATATCTGGGCACCCTGTGGCCCCATCAGAGTAACCACCCCATCCCCCATGGGGATTGTCCCGTTCTGTGATCCCCTCACCCAGGTGTGAGGGCTTGCACAGGTCTCACCAGAGTGCCTGCCAAAATGTGGACATTCCTCTGTCTGAGAAGTGAAAATGGTAGTTGGGCGTAGTTCTTGCATTTGCATTCTTTTCATTGTAAACTGAGGGCAGGCATGGTGGCTGTCCCCATAATCCCAGCACTTTGGGAGAGTGAGGCTGGAGGATCTCTTGAGCCCAGGAGTTTGAGACCAGCCTGGGCAAGATAGCAAGACCCCATCTCTACAAAAATTAGCTGAGTGTGGTGGTGTGCACCTGTAGTCTTAGCTACCTGGGAAGCTAAGGTAGGAGATCACCTGAGCCCAGGAGGTTGAGGCTGCAGTGAGCTGTGATGGCACCACTAAGCTGAGCATCTCTTTATAAATGTGTGGGCCATTTGTATTTCTTTTTCAGTATACTATTTATACAGTTTGCCCTGCTGAGGCAGGAGAATTGCTTGAACCCAGGAGGCAGAGGTTGCAGTGAGCCGAGTTTGGGCCATTGCACTCCAGCCTGGGTAACAAGAGCGAAACTCGATCTCAAAAAAAAGCAAAATTATTGAGACATAGTTCACCCTCTAAAGTATATTTCAATGGTTTTTAGTATATTCAAATTAATGTGCAACCATGATCACAATCAATTTTAGAAAATTTTCATCACCTGTTGGAAATAGATGTTGTAAATAGATGCTTAGTGCCACACAGAAAAATTAGCTCCGAGACCAAGGATCTTTCAGCCACACATGTCCCAGCCCTTCACTGCTTTTACCTGTTTAGAAAAGTTTTAAGTTGTCAGCCAATCGGGTTTTAGTTTAGATGGTGAGGTCTGGCTCCAGCCAATGGAGACCAGACACAGCAGTAAGGACGACCCCAAATGGGTGAAGGATAAATGTGTGTGTTTCCCCTTGTTCTTTGTACTCTCATGGCAAGATGGCTAGTGAGGGTGCCCTTCCTGCAGCCCGGGAAGTAAAAATCGCGTTGCTGAAGGATGCTTTGTCTCAGGGCTGATTTTTCTCTGTGGCACCGAGCATCTATTTCCAGCATTACCCAAAGAGAAACCCTGCACCATTAGTAATCACTTCCCATTTCCCCAACTCTCCCAGCTCCCGGCAACCATTAAGATACTTTGAGTCTCTGCGGAGTTGCCTCTTCTGGACATTTCACACAAATGGAATTGTACAATGTGGGATCTTTTGTGTCTGGCTTCTCTGCGTAATGCTTCCATCCGGGTTGTAGCATGGATTGGAACTTCACTCCTTTTCCTGGTTGAATAATATTCCACTGTGTGGAGAGACAATGTGTGGGGTCTCCATTCAGCTGTGGATGGACGTTTGTGTTGTTTCCACTCTGGCTATTATGAGTAATGATCGCTACACGTCTGTGCACAAGCTTTTCTGTGTACATATGTTTCCAATTCTCTTGGAGTAGAACTGCTGGAATTTATTTCAGGAATTGCCAGAGTGTTTTCCATAGTGGCTGTACTATTTTACATTCCCACCAGCAGAAGCAGGGCCACTATTAGGGCCCCACTTCCTCCACATCCTCACCACTCTTATTACCTGGAGCTTGGATTAGAGCCACCCGCGTGGGTGTGAAGGGGATTTCATTATGCCTTCGAGTTGCATTTCCCAATAACTAACCAGTTCAGTTTTGCTCTGTCGCCCAGGCTGGAGTGCAGTAGCATGATCTTGGCCCACCACAACCTCTGCCTCCTGGGTTCAAGTGATTCTCCTGCCTCAGCCTCCTGAGTAGCTGGGCTGGGTGAAAGTTCCTGTAGGGTCTGTGTGCCCTGAGAAGGGAGACTGTTCCTTTCACCCTCTAAGTGCCAAGTGGAATGTCCCAGATGGAGTAGCTGATCAGATTTCTATACAAGCCATTTGATGCCGGCTTTGCGATGTACAGAATATGTTTCTACTGGACAAGCCCATCGCCCACGTCATGGAAGATGCCTGGCTAATGTTTGTATTTTTAGTGCAGACGGGATTTCACCATATTGGTCAGGCTGGTCTCGAACTCCTGACCTCGAGTGATCCACACACCTCAGCCTCCCAAAGTGCTGGGATTATAGGAATCAGTCACCACGCTCAGCCAATTTGCAGCAAAATTTGAACTGTCCATACCCTTAGGCCCCCCAATTTCTAGTCTGGGTCTTATCAAGTGAATGATTCTAAAGATCTTATCTGCAGCTCCTCGGTACCCTTAGAGCCCAAATCCAAGTGAGACTCCACAGTTACCGGCCAGCCCCTACATGGCCTGGCCCCTCTAGGAACCCATCCCTGTCCTCATTGCTTCCCCAGCACCTGCAGCCATGCTGGTCTTGCTGTTCTGGGAATCAGCCGAGCTTCCTCCCACCTTGAGACCTTGGCACACGAGGCTCTCTCCATCTGTGGTCTCTGCATGGAGGGGAGCATGCCTCCTGTCCTCAATGATCCAGTCTCTGCAAATGTCCCCACGCTGAGTGCCCGACCAAACCCTTTCCTCCAGAGTGCCAGGGATGCACATGGCACAACCACTGGAAAATCAAAGGAAGTTGATGCCTATTTCATGTCAGACAGAAGAATACAATTCACACGGATCCAAGTGTGGGTCAAGACATCCAGGGGGAGACCTATGTCAATTCTAGCTAAATAATTATAAGCTTGCTTGGCTCAGAATACACTAAAGTTTATACACCGAACTAAACTGTATTATTGGTGCTGTTAATTAGAAATCAAGCGGGAGACCGGTAGCGGCTCACGCCTGTAATCCAAGCACTTTGGAGGCCAAGGCAGGTGGATCACCTGAGGTCGGGAGTTCAAGAGCAGCCTGACCAACATAGTGAAACCCCGTCTTTATTTAAAAAAAAAAAGAAAGAAATCAAGAGGCAACAGGAGGCCTAAGGTAAAGACCACTCAAGAAAGCAGTGACACTGGGGAACACCTCGGGGTGGCTGCAGAGCACAGAATACTGCTCTGGTCCCGCAAATACCTTCTCAACATGGAGACTGTGTAAGCGTCTCGTAAAGAAGGCTTATGCAAAGATGTCTGAGAAGGGAGGCGGCCTCTGCTCACAAGATCTGGGAGGGTCTTTGCAGATGGGAGCTGGCAAGGAGGAGAAAAGCCTTGCAGGGCAGAGATCACAGAACGCCTCAGGGTCTGTCTGGGTTCTCGGAATACGGAATGATTTTTTTTTTTTTTTTTAGAGACTGGGTTTCTTCATGTTGGTCAGGCTGGTCTTGAACTCCTGACCTCAGGTGGTCCACCGGCCTTGGCCTCCCAAAGTGCTGGGATTACAGGTGTGAACCACCGCACCCGGCTCTTTCTCTCTCTTAACTCTTGCCAGCCACCGTGGGATGACTCAGCAAGAAGACCCTCACCAGATGCCAGCACCTTGATCTTGGACTTCCCAGCCTCCAGAACCATGAGCCAAATACATTTCTACTTATTATATGTTACCCATCGGTGGCATTCTCTTACAGCAGCATAAAATGGACTAAGAAAGTAGGGGAAACATTGCCCAGTGAGACCCATAATATAATCAGGTAAAAGAGAAGCAGCCACTTCACGTAAAGCCTGCTCAAACACTCTGTTCTTCCTGCAGACTTTTACCTTAATTCCATCAACCCTTGCCTTCCTAGCTGCAGTCTCCAGTAGGACTTTAATAGCAGGTTCTGGCTTTACAATACTAGGTGTAAGGGCTTTTAGGCTGACTGACAGCGCCATGGATGCCATGTTAACCACTGTGACCTGAGTTCCTGGAAAATCTAAAGTAAAATCTTTTATGAACAAGCAAGTACTCAGAGATTTTATTACCACCAGGCCTGCTTTACAAGAGCTTCTGAAAGAAGCATTACACATAGAAAGGAACAACCTTCTCTTCTACAAAAGGCTTTGGGTCCCCACTAGGGGATTGACTCAAGGGACCCTGGTCCTTTTATCGATTTTTATCTTGATTAACCTGGCTATCATACCAGGCAATTTCAGATCATATTTCTCATTGTGATCTTTGCCTCTGACTTAAAAATTCTCCAAACTGAGATAAATATTGCAAACATGTTTGGAGGCCTGTCATGTGGGCACCAGCAAAGGCTCTCTTTGGCCCACTCAACCTTCCATAGTGTTCTATTAAGACCTTTTTTTCTTTCAGAGACGGGGTCTGGCTGTGTTGCCCAGACTGGAGTGCAGTGGCTATTCACAGGTGCGATCCCACTACTGATCAGCATGGGAGTTTTGACCTGCTCTGTTTCCGACCTGGGCCAGTTCACCCCTCCTTAGGCAACCTGGTGGTCCCCTGCTCCCGGGAGGTCACCATATTGATGCCCAACTTAGTGCAGACACCCGATCGGCATAGCGCACTACAGCCCAGAACTCCTGGGCTCAAGAGATCCTCCCACCTCAGCCTCCCGAGTAGCTGGGACTACAGGCACCTGCCACCACACCTGGCAAACCCTTTGTTTTAACCCATAATGTTCATGCCATTCATCTCATTTTTTGATAATCCTCTAAAGATGTCCACCCTGCTGGGAATGGTCCTGTGACTCTCCTCTTTCTTTTCCTCTAGTTTTTGTACCCTTATATGTTTCCTTTATTCATTTGATTTTGTGTGTGTGTGTGTGTGTGTGAGTGTGTGTGTGTGATGGAGTCTCTGTCACCCAGGAGGGAGTGCAGTGACAAAATGTCAGCTCACTGCAACCTCTGCCTCTAAGTTCAAGCAATTCTCTCCTGCTTCAGCGTCCTGAGTCACTGGGATTACAGGTGCCTGCCACCCAGGCACACCCAGATAATTTGTGTGTGTGTGTGTTTTAATAACAAAGCCAGGTTTATTACTCTGGGTTAAACCTGTGGAGGCAGGACCTGGGAAGGGGCATGGGGACAGTTCTCAGTACGCTAAGATCTGCTGATCGTCTGCCCATGGGCCAGGCCCCACTGAAGTTCTAGGTGAGGCCCAGAGCTGGGGGACAGGGTCCTCTTCCTGAGACTGCAGCTTGTGGGATCACTGCAATGTCTCATCATAAAGGTGGGGGGTAGGGTGTTGGCCTGCACTGGGCCAGCGTCCTCAGGAAGGTCCCTTGTTGGAGGAGGCGGTGGCAGCTGCCCTGTTCTTCTTGGCCGGGTCCTTCAGCAGTGCCAGCTTCTTGGGCAGGCTGCTGCTGGCTTTCGTCCTCACATTCTGTTCGGTCTTCAGATCCCGACTTCTAGGTTCTGCAATCCTACCTACTCAGGAGGCTGAGACGGAAGGATTGCTTGAATCCAGGAGGCTGAGGCTGCCACAGTGAGCCGTAATGGGGCCACTGCACTCCAGCTTGGGCAACAGTTAGACACTTCCCAAGCTTCTGCTGCCGCACGACACGCGCCTTCTTGGGAGTGATAACACGACCGCCTTTCCTCGGGCCCCGATTCTTTTCAGAGGCCACCGCTGCCGTCTTGCTCTTTGCTGGCTTGTGTGCCTGGAACTTGCACTGTCCCTGTGCCATGTTCCGGCATGCAGCGCTTTTCTGTGTTTTTAGTAGAGATGGGGTTTCACCATGTTGGCCAGGCTGGTCTCAAACTCCTGACCTCATGTGATCTGCCCGCCTCAGCCTCCCAAAGTGCTGAGATTACAGTATCTTTTTTTTTTTGGAGACAAGGTCTCTCTCACTCTGTCACCCAGGCTGGAGTCCAGTGGTGCAATCATGGCTCACTGCACAGACTTGACCTCCTGGGCTCAAGCAAGTCTATTGCCTCAGCCTCCTGAGTAGCTGAGACTACAGGTGCATTCCTGCCACCATGCCTGGCTGATGTTTTTTAATCTACATTTTTTTGTAGAGATGGGGTCTTCCTATATTCCCCAGGCTGGTCTTGAACTCCTGGGCTCAAGCCATCCTCCTGCCTCGGCCTCCCAAACTGCTGGAGTTACAGACATGAGCCATTGTACCTGGCTACTTAATTTCTTAATAACCTTTATCTTTGAGTTTTTTGTAGCAGGAGTGGCCACGGGAAACAGATCTCTCGGACACTGAATACAGGAGGAAGGAGTTTATTTGGCTGGGAGCAAGGTGGCATAGTTGCCTAACAGCCAAGCTCCCCTAACAAAGGATGGTTCCGTCTTTATATAAGGCTTGTACTTTAGATGTTACGTGTGGAAGAATCTTAGGTTTATAGCTTAACATATGAAAAGGGTCTTGGTTTACAGGCTCAGGAATTACATATGAAAAGAGTTTTAGTTTACAGTCTTAGGAATGAAAAGGGGGGGTTGATCTGAGATGCCTGGGTCTCCCTCTTCATTTTGACTCTTCTCCCCTCTGCCTTTCCCTTTATTAATTAATTTGTTTTTATTATTATCTGTAAGACCCCCAAGGTGAAACTGAGAGCAAATTTGATAACATTTCTTGGACTGTTGCTGGATTTTACAGCACTGAGGTCACATGAGGTGCCCATGCAGAACGTGCCCCTTACACAGGGCATCTTCCATGACGTGGGCGATGCGCTTGTCCAGTAGAAACATATTCTGTTCATCACACAGCTGGCATCAAATGGCTTGTGTACAAATCTGATCAGCTACTCCATCTGGGACATTCAACTTGGCACTTAGAGGGTGAAAGGAACAGTCTCCCTTCTCAGGGCACACAGATCCTACAGGGACTTTCACCCAGTCCAGCAGTCCAGCTGTCCCCTCGGGAGTCACCTTCTGCGTGTCTGAATCAGGTACAGCTCCCCATGATTGTCTCACAGTGAGCTGCAGGTGCTGTGTCAGCCAAACACACTCTTCCACCCTGCGCCATTTGAAACTGAAGACACTGCTCCCAAATCAGTTACTGCTAGAATCCCTGTCCCTAAAGGCTCCCCAGGAAGCCAGTGACATGCAGCGGCACAATGCAACCTCCACACTCTGCACCTGGTTTCGGCCGTTGCTTGGTTTGGTCCTCTCCCTGTGGACGGCCTTCTTCGTAACCAGAGGTCTCAGAGACACTGTTGTTCCTGAATAATTCTGCCCTTGGGAGTCAGCTTGAGGCTAGCGGCTCATCGTTCCAAAGGCCACCAGGACGGGCAGATAGCAGGAAGTATAGCTGGATTGGTGAGATCAGCTTGCAAATCAGGAAGAGATCCTCTCTGGTGTGGACTGAAGGTTTGCTGTCTTCCAAGAGGGAAGGGGCAGGTGGGGCTGATGCCTTGTGGGGCCTCTGTCACACAGAGAGTCACACGGATTCAGCAGGTTTGGAGGAAGAGCTGTATCTGTTCATAAGGGGGGTTGAGTGTATGTGCAATGGGTAAACATGCTCGTAACATACATATTCCATGTTCACTTTGGGGTGGAGCTCTAGCCTTAAAATGAGGTGGAATTTGGCTTTTTACATCAACATGTGAGCTACGAGGCTGGGTGTGGTGGCTCTCGTCTGTAATTCCAGCACTTTGGGAGGCTGAGGTGGGGGGATTGCTTGAGGCTGGGAGTTCAAGACTGGCCTGGGCAATATAACAAAACCCTGTCTCTACAACAAAAAATAAAAAAATTAAAAATTAAAAAGAAAAAGTGCAAGGCTGGGCACAGTGGTTCACACCTGTAATCCCAGCGCTTTTGGAGGCCAAGGGGGGCAGATCATTGAGGTTGGGAGTTTGAGACAAGCCTGGCCAACATGGTGAAACCCTATTTCTACTAAAAATACAAAAATTAACTGGGTGTGGTGCCAGGTACCTGTAGTCCCAGCTACTCGGGAGGCTGAGGCAGGAGAATTGCTTGAACCCAGGAGGCGGAGGTTGCAGTGAGCCAAGATCGTGCCATCGCCTTTCAGCCTCCCAACTGTACGTAAAAAAGTTTCTCTTTGGCCGGGCACAGTGGCTCATGCCTATAATCCCAGCACTTTGGGAGGCCAAGACAGGTGGATCATGAGGTCTTGATCTCTTGACCATCCTGGTCAACAAGGTGAAACCCCATCTCTACTAAAAATACAAAAATTAGCTGGGCATGGTGGTGCGCACCTGTAGTCCCAGCTACTCGGGAGGCTGAGGCAGGAGAATTGCTTGAACCCAGGAGGCGGAGGTTGTGGTAAGCCGAGATCGTGCCATTGCACTCCAGCCTGGGTAACAAGAGCAAAACTCCATCTCAAAAAAGAAAAAAAAAAAAGAAAGAAAAGTTTAAAGTTATTAGCCAGTCGGGTTTTAGTTTAGATTGTGAGGTCTGGCTCCAGCCAACAGAGAGCAGACACAGCAGTAAGGACGACCCCAAATGTATAAGGGATAAATTTGTGTGTTTTCCTTTGTTCATTGTCCTCCTGTGGCAAGATGGTTAGCGAGGGTACCCTTCCTGCAGTCCAGGAAGTAAAAACTGAGTGGCTAAAAGACCCTCTGTCTCAGTGCTGATTTTTCTTTGTGGCACTGAATGTCTATTTCCAAGACTGACAGAACCACCATCGGAGAAAAAAAAAAAAAAAAGAGAGGAAGGGTATGGAGGGCATGGTCACATTCTTTTGAGGTTTTGGTGAGCATTTACTGAATCCACAGGTTGCATGTGAAAAGGCGGAGGTAGGGGAAGGATCCAGTATCTATTCTTCTGGAGCTGAGTAAAACTGCACTTTACATAAGATAAATACAGAGAGGAGAAAGAAGTGGAATCTGCATTGAGCTGGGTGGTGATGGGGAGGCTGCTCCTGGTCTCCTCTCGTGCCTTGCTGGTGAAGATAAGCTGTTAGCTGACATTGCCAGGGTGGCCTCTCTCCTCCTGTGGCCTCTTATCTTACTGCTCTGTGTTAGGAACAAAAGGAAAGGCAGGTTTGTGTTACTTGACTTCAAATTTCATTTTCCTTTCACAATTCTGACACCAATTTGGGGAAAACGCACTGTGTTTCTCTACTTCTGACACCAGATGTGGGTGTTTATTTCCACACCAAGCAGTTCTCCAAATACCAGCCGGGTAGTTCTACAATTTCATCCTGTGCTGACCCTGTCGACCTGGCATCAGCACCGACCCCACTGGTGAAGCTCAGTCCCACAGACCGCACCCGATTCGGATGCCAATCCCAAGTCCAAGCTCAGGCCTCCAGTACTGCCTGTCAGTTGGGGGTTCTCATGACACTCCCCTAATGGTCCATTGTTTGCTAGAGTAGCTCACAGAACTCAGAACACTTCAGGGATTTATGTGGGTAACCCCGATGTGGGCACCCAGGAAGGAAAACTGTGCAAACCCCAGGCACAACTAGTGCCTGAAAAATATCTTAGTTTATAGTGTTATTACTCAGCTATTTCCTTTTTTTTTTTTTTTTTTTCTGAGAGCTTTGCTCTTGTTACCCAGGCTGGAGTGCAATGGCGCAATCTCGGCTCACCACAACTTCTGCCTCCTGGGTTCAGGCAATTCTCCTGCCTCAGCCTACTGAGTAGCTGGGATTACAGGCACGCACCACCACGCCCAGCTAATTTTGTGTATTTTTAGTAAAGAGGGGGTTTCACCATGTGGACCAGGATGGTCACGATCTCTTGACCTCGTGATCCACCTGCCTCGGCCTCCCAAAGTGCTGGGTTTACAGGCTTGAGCCACCGTGCCTGGCCTCAGCTATTTCCTTTATATATCCTTCACATATAATCATATATTAGTTTATAGAATTAGTGCCTGAAGTATAACTTACTGCTTACATATATCTACTTTATATAATAGTACTTAATGCTTATATCTAGCGTACTTAGTTCTATATAATCTTTCTTTTTTTTTTTTTGAGATGGAGTTTCACTCTTGTTACCCAGGCTGGAGTGCAATGGCGTGATCTCGGCTCACCGCAACCTCCGCCTCCTGAGTTCAGGCAATTCTCCTGCCTCAGCCTCCTGAGTAGCTGGGATTACAGGCACGCGCCACCATGCCCAGCTAATTTTTGTATTTTTAGTAGAGACGGGGTTTCACTATGTTGACCAGAATGGTCTCCATCTCTTGACCTCGTGATCCACCCACCTCGGCCTCCCAAAGTGCTGGGATTACAGGCATGAGCCACCGCGCCCGGCCAGTTCTATATAATCTTTCTATATAATCATGTAGGTGCTGCAGTCGGAGCTGTACCGACACATTTAGTGCTGATTTACAGAATCCTTCCATATAACCACATGGTAGTTTGTAGTAGGAGGAATGCCTAGAGCAGTCACAGAACAGGAGCAGTACATGGGAAAACAGCCAGACCAGGACGAGAACCAAAGACCCAGGCGGTGGCGTCCCTGCCTGAAAGGGCACACGCTGTATGCAGGCTTGGAGCAAGAGCCTCTCCTCATGATAAAGGAGCTGTAGCACCTGCATCCAGCTCCTGTGGAAAGTCGGCCTCAGGCCTGAGATCCTGGAAGTAACCGAGGGAGAAGAACCCCTGTGGTGTGACCAGTCACGGCGGCTGTACACCCTGTCAGCCTTTTCTCGATTCTGTGCTATCTCAGATCATCCTCCCATAAATATCTTAAGAGCACAAGTCTGTCAGCTCCCACTGCACTGGCTTACAGTATCCTTCTATTAGAAATCCTTTGAAGTCTCCAGCCCCCAGATAAGAAGAGTTACGCGCGACACCTGCTGCACACAGCCCACCTCCTTGCCTCGGTGACCTAATGGGGGTGGACCCCTTTTCTGTACATGGCCCCCTACTGCCCACCTCTCTGCCCAGAGAACATAATGGGGTGGCCCCCTCGATTGTGACTCAGGTGATTATGTCTGCCCTATCACTAAGCCTATAGATGATGACCTCACTCACAACCCTGTCCCCTGCTTGTACCTAATAAATACAGAAGCTGGCCGGGCACGGTGGCGCACGCCTGTAATCCCAGCACTTTGGGAGGCCAAGGCGGGTGGATCACGAGGTCAAGAGATCGAGACCATCCTGGTCAACGAGGCGAAACCCCGTCTCTACTAAAAATACAAAAATTAGCTGGGCATGGTGGTACGCGCCTGTAGTCCCAGCCACTCAGGAGGCTGAGGCAGGAGAATTGCTTGAACCCAGGAGGCGGAGGTTGGGGTGAGCTGAGATCCTGCCATTGCACTCCAGTCTGGGTAACAAGAGCGAAACTCTGTCTCAAAAAAAAAAAAGAAAAGAGAGATTCTCCTGCCTCAGCCTCCCGAGTAGCTGGGATTACAGGCATGCAGCACCACACTTGGCTAATCTTTGTATTTTTAGTAGAGACGGTGTTTTACCATGTTGGTCGGGCTGGTCTCAAACTCCTGACCTCGTGATCTGCCCGCCTCGGCCTCCCAAAGTGCGGGGATTACAGGCGTGAGCCACCGGGCCCAGCCTGTGCGGTTCAATTTCTTCAAGTATAAGATGTGAAAAGTCCCAGAGCCCGTCACGGGGCGCTTACTAGGAAGGGGGTGAGGTGAATTGCATAGGTTGTGGCTGGCCCAGTGCTCTGCACACAGAAATGCTCAGCAAACATCACTGTGAGCTCCTTCAGCACTCAGGGACCTTCCTACTCCCCTGGACCCGGAAGCACTGGGCACCACACTCTGTTCCTTTTTTCTTTTCTTTTTCTTTCTTTCTTTCTTTCTTTTAGACATGTCTCACTCTGTCGCCCAGGCTGGTGCAGTGGTGCACTCTTGGTTCACTGCAACCTCCATCCCCCAGGCTCAAGGGATCCTCCCTCCTCAGCCTCCCGAGTAGCTGGGACTACAGATGTGCACCACCACACCTGGCTAATTAAAAAAAATTTTTTTAGAGTACAAGTCTCCCTAAGTTGTCCAGGCTGGTCTCGAACTCCTGAGTTCAAGAGGCCCACGTGCTTCAGCTTCCCAAAGTGCTGGGATTACAGTGTGAGCCACCGTGCCTGGCCTTTTCCTCTTTTTTTTTTTAGTTTTTATTTTTGAGACAGAGTTTTGCTCTTGTTGCCCAGGCTGGAGTGCAATCACGTGATCTCGGCTCACCACAACCTCCGCCTCCCAGGTTCAAGCCTTTCTCCTGCCTCAGCCTCCCAAGTAGCTGGGATTACAGGCCTGCGCCACCATGCCCAGATAATTTTTTGTATTTTTAGTAGAGATGGGGTTTCTCCATTTTGGCCAGTCTCATGTGGAACTCCTAACCTCAGGTGATTGTCCCACCTTGGTCTCCCAAAGTGCTGGGATTACAGGCATGAGCCACCACACCCAGCTATTTTTAAAATTTTATTGCACTGTGGTTTGTATTTTTATTTTTGAGACAGAGCTTCATTCTTGTCCAGTCTGGAGTGCAATGGCTCGATTTCAGCTCATTGCAACCTCTACCTCCCAAGTTCAAGCGATTCTCCTGCCTCAGCCTCCCGAGTGGCTGGGATTCAGGCATGCACCACAATGCTCCGCTAATTTTGTATTTTTAGTAGAGATGGGGTTTCTCCATGTTGATCAGGCTGGTCTCGAACTCCTGACCTCAAGTGATCCACCTGCCTCAGCCTCCCAAGGTGCTGGGATTAGGGGCATGAGCCACCACGCCTGGCTTCCTTTTTTGTTTTGAAACAAACAAGGTCTTACTTTGTCACCCAAGCTGGAGTGCAGTGGGGTGAACGCAGCTTACTGCAGCCTCGCTCTCCCTGGCTCAAGCGATCCTCCCTCCTCAGCCTCCCAAGTAGCTGAACCTATAGTTGTGTACCACCATGCCAGGCTAACTTTTGTATATTTTATAGTTATGAGGTTTCTCCATGTTGCCCAGGCTGGTCTTGAACCCCTGAGCTCAAGCGATCCACCCATCTCGGCTTCCTGCAGTGCTGGGATTGTAGGTGTGAGCCCCTGTGCCCAGCTTTCTGTGTTCCTTTGTCTACTCAGGGCAAGGACTGCATCCTCTCACCCTTTGCCCATTTCTTCTTTGCCCTGATGATTCCATGGCAGGCCTCGAGTCATGTGATTTTATTTTTATTATTATTTTTTGAGACGGAGTTTCACTGTTGTTACCCAGACTGGAGTGCAATGGCGTGATCTCGGCTCACTGCAATCTCTGCCTTCTGGGATCAAGCAGTTCTCCTGCCTCAGCCTCCCGAGTAGCTGGGACTACAGGCGCACGCCACCATGCCCAGCTAATTTTTGTATTTTTATTTTTATTTATTTATTTACTTTTGAGACGGAATTTCGCTCTTGTTACCCAGGCTGGAGTGCAATGGCATGATCTCAGCTCACCGCAACCTCCGCCTCCTGGGTTCAGGCAATTCTCCTGCCTCAGCCTCCTGAGTAGCTGGGACTACAGGCACATGCCACCATGCCCAGCTAATTTTTTTTGTATTTTTAGTAGAGACGGGGTTTCACCATATTGACCAGGTCTAGATCTCTTGACCTCGTGATCCACCTGCCTAGGCCTCCCAAAGTGCTGGGATTACAGGCTTGAGCCACTGCGCCTGGCTGGTAATTTTTGTATTTTCAGTAGAGACGGGGTTTTACCTTGTTGACCAGGATGGTCTCAATCTCTTGACCTCGTGATCCACCCACCTCAGCCTCCCAAAGTGCTGGGATCATAGGTGTGAGCCACCTCGCCCGGCCGATGTGATTTTATTTTACACAGCTGTGTTCCATCCATCCATCAGCTCCTCCAAGCATTGGCCTGGATCCCGAGGGAGGACCTCTGAGTCTCCTGGTAGCATCACCTGGAGGAGGGAAAGAAGGAAGCCAGGTGGTGCTTTTCAGGGACACAAGTCAGCCCAGGCTTGTGCACCAACTCTGGTCTCTACCCCGGGAGCCAGGGCCTCGGCTTTGCAGAGCCGGTCACCGGAAGAGGCACCCACTCAGGAAGTGGGTCGAAGGGCACCCAGCCTTCTGAGCGCACTTCTCTTATCTCTGTGAGCCACTGCAAGCTTGCGGCCTGCCTTGGAAGTGGCTGAGGCCCCAGGAGTCTGAGGCCCCCAGGGTGTGGAGATGCTGGGAGAGAATCACAAGCAGCCACTGTCCCTGCTGGGCCCCTGATGCAGCCCCTTCCTGGATCTTTTAGACAACACTGAGCCCCGCCCACATTGCAGGACAATGACATGTTTGATGCCTCCAGAGCTATACCTGGCCTGTCTAGGACTCGGTCTCTTCTGCAAAGCTTCTGGGACATAAGTCTTGCTGGACACTGACCTTCCTGAATCGGCCCAGGATCCCACTGACATCTGCACCTCACTGAGGAGGCAATACCAGCCCACCTTGGGAACCAACCCCTGGCTCATCAGCTGCGTAGCATTAGGGAGTTGGAGAGACCATTCATTCATTCATTCATTCATAGAGTGCTAACTGCATGCCTCTGGCGGTGGCTGATGCTGAGTGTACATGAATGAATAAAATAGATAGATGCCCCCTCCCAGAGCTGACAGCCTAGAGGGGCAGGGAGGAAGAGGGGAAACCCATGAACATATGAATTCACATTTGCTGCCAGGGAGGGACAGACAGGGAGCAGACAGGGACCCGGGGAGACACCTACTGAGATGGACTGTTCTGGGCCCTGTCCAAGCTAGAAGGGAGGAGTTATAACAGCTACACACTTATTTCATCTGGGCGCAGTGGCTCATGCCTAAAATCCCAGAACTTTGGGAGGCCGAGGTGAGTGGATGACTTGAGGCCAGGAGTTTGAGACCAGTCTGGGCAATATGGTGAAACCCCATTTCTACTAAAACCACAAAAATTAGCTGAGCATGGTGGCGCATGCCTGTAATCCCAGCTACTTGGGAGGCTAAGGTATGAGAATTGCTTGAACCCAGGAGGCGGACGTTTCAGTGAGCTGAGATTGTGGGCAACAGAGTGAGACTCTGTGTCAAAAACCAAAACAAACAAAAACCGAAAAAACACTTATTTCATATTCAGAAAAATATTTTGGAGATGGAGTCTCACTCAAGTGCAGTGGCATGATCTCAGCTCACTGCAACCTGCAGCTCCCAGGTTCAAGCAGTTCTCTTGCCTCAGCATCCTGCGTAGCTGAAATTACAGCCGAGTATCACCATTCCCAGCTATTTTTTAATTTTTTTGTATTTTTAGTAGAGACGGGATTTCACCATGTTGGCCAGGCTGGTCTTGAACTCCTGGCCTCTGGCGATCCACCCACCTCGGCCTCCCAAAGTGCTGGGATTACAGGCGTGAGCCAATACACCTGGCCTCTAACTTAATTTAAATTTTTAAATCATTATTATTTTTAGAGACAGGGTCTTGCAATGTTGCGCCTGCAGGACTCAAAACTCCTATAGGCTCAAGGGATCCTCCTGCCTTAGCCACCTGAGCGGCTGGGAGAGCACAGGCTGCATCTTACCTCCTTAAGATTTGCTATGCTTTGAATGTCCCTTTGGAAGGGGAAGTGTGCCTTCCACCCTCTGAAGGTTTGCTGAAAAGCAAATGACAAGAGACAAATTAATAGGAGAACAGGTATATAAATGTATTAATGTGGGTGAGGGAGACTTCATGGCGTGCCTTGATTACCACAACCCCGCAATGGGGTACAGAAGCGTAAACCCCCTTATTCCTAGGGGAGGGAGGAGGTGGGGAATGCAGACAATTCTTCTGAGGGGCAGCAAATGGCTACTAGGGAAAAAGAATGGACCCAGGAGGCAGAAGTTAACTTGTCTTAATTAATGATTAATTAATAAGTAAAGGATCCTCTCTGGAACCCGAATGAGCCCGGGAGGCAGGCACCATCTGGTGGAAAGGCTTTTCAAGTGCGGGCGTGTGGGGACCGCTCCCGTGTGAGACCCCTAATAAATTGGGTCTCACCTTGCGGTGAGTTTGAGCCCAGACGCACAGTCTCCAGTTGAAGGAAGTCGAGCTAAGAAAAGCAGGATCTAAAAGAGGCTTTGGGTTGAAGATAAACTACTGCAGACAATCACTAGACGGCCACGCAGTCCTGAGGTGCACCGTGACCTAACGGTTAGCAGCCATGTGCAGCAGTGTGTTCATTTTCACAAGCATATTCTTCTTTGCTCTGTCCGGACAGTAATGATTGACTGTCATAGCTTAAAAGAAACTTCTGTGTAGTGAGATCATGAATCTGAGCGTCTATTAAGTAGATAGGAAGACCCACCTGCTGGGTTCCATTGTGTATCTGATCTTTCTACTGTAACCACCTGATTTATGTTGTAACTTGTAGTTTCACTGTAAAACTTTCTGTTCCCCTTGATCTCACAGAACAATGTATTGAACTGACATAAGCGAACTTTCAAGAATGTGTATAAACTGACCCTGAGCTAAGTAAAGCTGTTGGTGAAGCACAGACTTCTCAACCCTCCAGACCCCGGCTGTCTATCATCTTTATCTTCCGCGCACCTCCCTATCCAGGTTGGAACCCTTTTGCTGGACAAGAGGTCCTGGCAGACGTGCCCCCAGACGGGCGCATCTTCAGACCTCTTCTCTGTCACAGACAGTGAGGTAACAGGGAGGGGATAGGAGGGCCCTACTGGAAAGTCTAAAAGGTAGTTAGAGGTCAAAACCCAATGGCATTTAGAATTTGAAATTTGATTTTGGGAAGTTTGTCAAATATAAAAGGTGTAAAACATTTGATATCAAAATAAGAAAGTTTAAAACACTTGATCAAAATAGAAGCACAGGTCACTGTAAAATAATAGCCATTCATTTAGCCAAAAGGACAATGAAAAGATTTCAGAAAGCAAAATCTTTACTTTTTGATAGAGAAGAGATTCAGGTTTCCAAGCAATCAAAAGACCTAATACAGACAGTAAGAGACAGGTTCTGACCCTCTTTTTTTGTGTGGCAGTTTACTGAAAAGGTGAAGAAAAAATTTACTATTTCTTAACACCATGTGAAAATCTTGTTCAAAAGAAAACAAATTCTACCTTTGCATCAGTATATTATTAATGTTAAAACTAATTTTATTTTATTTTTTGTTATGAAGTTTTGCTCTTGTTGCCCAGGTGGGAGTGCAACGGCACAATCTCGGCTCACTGCAACCTCCACCTCCCAGGTTCAAGTGATTCTCCTGCCTCAGCCTCCAGAGTAGCTGGGACTACAGGTGCCTTCCACCATATCTGGCTAATTTTTGGTTTTAGTAGAGACAAGGTTTTTCCATGTTGGCCAGTCTGCTGTGAACTCCTGACCTTAGGCGATTGGCCCACCTTGGTCTCCCAAAGTGCTGGGATTACAGGTGTGAGCCACTGCTCCTGGCTAAAGCTCATTTTAACAACAGTTTAAAAATAGATCTTAGGCCGGGTGCCGTGGCTCATGCCCGCACTCTGGAAGGCCGAGGTGGGCGGATCATGAGGTGAAGAGATTGAGACCATCCTGGCCAACATGGTGAAACCCCGCCTCCACTAAAAGTAGAAAAAATTAGCTGGGCATGGTGGTGTGTGCCTGTAGTCCCAGCTACTGGGGAGGCTGAGGCAGGAGAATTGCTTGAAACCAGAAAACAGAAGTTGCAGTGAGCCAGGATCGCGCCACTGCACTCCAGCCTGGCGATAGAGAAAGACTCTGTCTCAATAAATAAATAAATAAATAAAAATGAAAAAGTAGATCTGTCCAGGCTGGACGAGGTGGCTCATGCCTGTAATCCCAGCACTTTGGAAGGCCATGGCAGGCAGATCACTTGAGGTCAGCAGTTTGAGACCAGCCTGGTCAACATGGCAAAACCTTGTCTCTCTTAAAAATACAAAAATTTAGCCGGGCATGACTGGGTGCCTGTAATCCAAACTACTTGTGAGGCTGAGGCAGGAGAATTGCTTGAACCCGGGAGGCGGAGGTTGCAGTGGGCTGAGATCGCACCACCCAGCCTGGACAACAGAGCAAAACTCCTGTCTCAAACAAAACAAAACAAAAATATATCCATCCAATCTTACTCAGCTTCGACCACACAAGATTTCCATAAACGATTTTTTTTTTTTTTTAAAGAGATGGGGTCTCTCTCTGTTGCCCTGGCTGGAGTGCAGTGGCTATTCACAGGCGCGATCCCACTACTGATCAGCACGGGAGTTTTGACCTGCTCTGTTTCCGACCTGGGCCGGTTCACCCCTCCTTAGGCAACCTGATGGTCCCTTGCTCCCTGGAGGTCCCTATATTGATGCCAAACTTAGTGCGGACACCCGATCAGCATAGTGCACTACAGCCCAGGACTCCTGGGCTCAAGCGATCCTCCAGCCTCAGCCTCCCGAGTAGCTGGGACTACAGGCACGTGCCACCGCGCCCGGCCCATAAACCTTTTATAACGTCTTACAAAAACGTTTTTGATTTGCTTTCTCCAACTTTCTATATCTATTGCTTTATTTATCATTTTTTTCAATTTAAAACAATTTTTGAATAATCTGTAAACTAGACAAAATTACTTTTCCTTTAACAAAACTGCATTCTCGAGTTTTTTTGTAATTCTCCTTATGAAAAACACAGCACACCTTGCTTTCTCTGTACCCTTTGCATAGAGAATTTGTTTTTGTTTTATCTGGTAGGGTCTTTTTTTTTTTTTTGCTTGTTTGTTTTGGGAGACAGGGCTCACTCTTCTGCCCAGGCTGGAGTGCAGTGGCATAGCCACGGCTCACTGCAGCCTCAGCCTCCCAGGCTCAAGCCATCCTCTTGCCTCAGGCTCCTTACTAGCTAAGACTACAGGTGTGCACCACCATACCCTGCTAAGTTTTATACTTTTTCTTGTAGAGATGGGATTTTGCCATGTTGCACAGGTTGGTCTTGAACTCCTGGGATGAAGAAATCCTCCTGACTCAGCCTCCCAAAGTGCTGGGATCACAGGCATGAGCCACTATGCCTGGCCAACAGTGTTTTTAAAAAAAATTTTTTTTTTTTTTTTTGAGAAGGAGTTTCACTCTTGTTACCCAGGCTGGAGTGCAATGGTGCGATCTCAGCTCACCGCAACCTCCGCCTCCTGGGTCAGGCAATTCTCCTGCCTCAGCCTCCCGAGTAGCTGGGATTACAGGCACGCGCCACCGTGCCCAGCTAATTTTTGTATTTTTAGTAGAGATGGGGTTTCACCATGTTGACCAGGATGGTCTCGATCTTTTGACTTCATGATCCACCCGCCTCGGCCTTCCAAAGTGCTGGGATTACAGGTGTGAACCACTGCGCCCGGCTTTTTTTTTTTTTTTTTTTTTTTTGAGATGGAGTGTCACTGTCACCCAGGCTGGAGTGCAGTGGCGGGATCTTGGCTCACTGCGACCTCCGCCTCCTGGGTTCAAGCAATTCTTCTGTCTCAGCCTCCTGAGTAGCTGGGACTATAGGTGAGTGCCACCACACCCAGCTATTTTTTTTTTTTTGTATTTTTAGTAGAGACAGGGTTTCACCATGTTGGCCAGGATGATCTCTATCTCTTGACCTCATGATCTGCCCATCTTGGCCTCCGAAGATGCTAGGATTATAGGCGTGAGCCACTTCACCAGGCCGTGCCCAGCCAGTAGTTTTAACTACATGTGTTAACTAGAGTTTTAACTCTTAGTAACCCTAATTTCCAGTGAAAAACCTAGGGCGTGAGCAATTTTAAGTGTTAGGTACCAGGTTCATTGCCCGCAACAGAGGACAGAGCTGTGAGGACAGTGCCTGGAGAGTCCAACCCCTCCCAGCCTGGTCAGGAGGTAGAGCTGGGCCAGGGAGGATGGGACGATAGTGGGCTTGGTTCTGCTCTGCAGCGGGTGGCCGAGGCACTGAGAACCACATATGTCCCCAGGACTCACCATGGCCACCTCTCTAAAGCCTAGAATCTAAAAGCTTAAAATCAAAAACATGAGATCGTAGACAAGTATTAAAAACGTCATAGAAGCAACAGTTTTAGATCTTAAAACATCTAGCAGAGATGGTGTAAATTAGTCTGACCTGCAGACCCAGGTCTGCAGACATTTTTATCTTATTCTACCAAAAGTTATTAAAACATTTTTTTAATTTGTTTTATTTTTTAGTCTTTTCTTTTTCTTTTTTTTTTTTTTGAGATGGAGTTTCGCTGTTGTTACCCAAACTGGAGTGCAATGGCACGATCTCGGCTCACCGCAACCTCCGCCTTCTGGGTTCAAGCAATTCTCCTGCCTCAGCCTCCCGAGTAGCTGGGACTACAGGCACACACCACCATGCCCAGCCGATTTTTGTATTTTTAGTAGAGACGGGGTTTCACCATGTTGACCAGGATAGTCTCGATCTCTTGACCTTGTGATCCACCCACCTGGGCCTCCCAAAGTGCTGGGATTATAGGCGTGAACCACCGCGCCCGGCTGTCTTTTATTTTTCAACTACTTTCTGTGAAGTTTTAAAATTTTAAATAGTGATAGGGTCTTTGTGTTGCCCAGGCTGGTCTCAAACTCCTGGCCTCAAGCAATCCTCCCACTTCGGCCTCCCAGAGTGCTGGGATTACAGGTGTTAGCTACCATGTCTGGCCACCTACAGTTTTGAAACTACTTTTTTTTCTGAGATGGAGTCTCACTCTGTCGCAAGGCTGGAGGGCAATGGCGCGATCTCGGCTCACCGCAACCTCCGCCTCCTGGGTTCAGGCTATTCTCCTGCCTCAGCCTCCTGAGTAGCTGGGATTACAGGCACGCGCCACCAGGCCCAGCTAATTTTTTGTATTTTTAGTAGAGACGGGGTTTCACCATGTTGACCAGGATGGTCTCGATCTCTTGACCTTGTGATCCACCTGCCTCAGTCTCCCAAAGTGCTGGGATTACAGGCTTGAGCCACTGTGCCCGGCCAAAAATGAATACCATTTTTAATCTTGAATTAAAAATGAATACCAAAGTAACAAAAATCATAGGCATTCGCTCCAGGATTTTGCAAGGAGAGCAATCGCATTTAGATAGTTAACTTGTGGACAGGCACGGTGGCTCATGCCTGTAATTCCAGCACTTTGGGAAGCTAAGGTGGGAGGATCGCTTAAGGCCAGGAGTTTGAGATCAGCCTGGGCAACATAACGAGATCCCATCTCTATTTAAAAAAAAAAAAAAAAAAAAAAAAGAGCTGGGAGCAGTGGCCTATGCCTGTAATCCCAGCTACTCAGGAAGCTGAGGCAGGAGAATCACTTGAACCCGGGAGGTGGAGGTTGAGGTGAGCCAAGGAAAAAAAAAGAATGCCGGGTGCTGTGCCTCATCCCTGTAATCCCAGCACTTTGGGAGGCTGAGGTGGGCAGATAGATCACTTGAGCCCAGGAGTTTGAGACCAGCCTGGGCAACATGGCCAAACCCCATCTCTACCAAAAAACATAAAAAAAATTAGGCGGGTGTGATGGTGCATTGTCTGTAGTTCATATTCCTAGCTCCTTGGGAGGCTGAGGCGAGAGGATTCCTTGAGCCCAGGAGATGAAGGCTGCAGTGAGTCAGGATCAGGCCACGAACAATATGTGTGTGTGTGTGTATAAACGTATAGGTAGTTTCTAGTTTAATCTCTATTTTCCAGCTGGACCAGAGTTCAGGGTGGAGTCCGTTAACAACCAGGACCAACAAAGCATTTGCAGTTTCCAGGGCTGGATACTTATATATGTGAAAAGCGGTGTGGCTGGAGGGCCGAGCATCTAGGCCCCCAGAAACAGAGGATTCCATTTTCACACTGAAACTTGGGTCCCCAGTAAAAAGGAAATGTTCCAGGACCAGCCTTCATAGAGCTTCCACAAGCATCTCACTGCAACGGCATTCCCCCAAGGCTGATGTGAGGCCCAGTGCCAGTCAGCGCCTTCTGTGATCAGCCCATCACCACGGGAGCCTCATTCCTCTGTGGTGCTTCCATTGTGTCCAAGTGTTCAAACCGTGCCTGCCTTTCTTCCCTTCCTTCCTTCCTTCCCTCCCTTCCTCTCTCTTTTTCTTTCTCTTTATTTTCCCTCTTTCCTTCCTTTTCTTTTCTCCCTTCCTCTTTTTCTGTTTTTCTCTCCCTCCCTCCTCCCTTCCTTCCTTCTTTCCTTCCTCTTTCTTTCTCTCTTTCTCTTTCCCTCTCCCTCCTTCCTTTCTTTCGGGGAGTCTTGCTCTGGAGTGCAGTGGTGCAATCTCGGCTTACTGCAACCTCCACCTCCCAGGTTCCTGTGATTCTCCTGCCTCAGCCTTTCCAGTAGCTGGGATTACAGGCACGCGCCACCACACTTGGCTGATTTTTGTATCTTTAGTAGAGATGGGGTTTCACCATGTTGGCCAGGCTGGTCTCGAACTCCAGACCTAAGGTGATCTGCCTGCCTCAGCGTCCCAAAGTGCTGACATTATAGACATGAACCACCGCACCCGGCCTCAAACAGTGCCTTTCTTACAGAGAGGCATAAAGAAGTGAGAAGCCCCTGCGGGAAAAACTGTCCACTGCAGCCACTGTCAGCCACCTCCAAAGCTGTAGCCCTTGCCAGTGACCTGCCAGCCGCCGAACACACAGGTGTCAAGCGCTCTCTCCTGGTACATAGTAATCCTTGGTATCTCAAAAGCCAAAGAGATCTGACAGCTCAGTGCAAGACAGCAGCGCTTTAGACCTCAGGGTCTTGGGAGCTCATGACTCTTGCTCCATTAGGAGAACTGAAGATCCCAAAATAGGGGCTGTGCATGGCACCTTTTTCTATCCTCTTCAAGGGGTCTCAGGGCGGCTAGAAGTCTCCTCTAGGCCGGAGGCGGTGGCTCACACCTGTAATCCCAGCACTTTGGGAGTCTGAGGCTGGCAAATCACGAGGTCAGGAGTTCGAGACCAGCCTGGCTAAGATGGTGAAACCCCCATCTCCACTAAAAATACAAAAAATTAGCTGGGCCTGGTGGTGGATGCCTATAATCCCAGCAACTCAGGAGGCTGAGGCATGGGGAATCACTTGAACCCAGGAGGCGGAGGTTGCCACTACACTGCAGCCTGGGCGACAGAGCAAAACTCTGTCTCAAAAAAAAAAGAAAGGAAGCAAATGGTTGTAGTTCAGGGCTTCCCCTTTAGCGATATTTAATAACCATCTGATACTAGCTGCCGGGTGCTGAGCTCAAAGTGCCCAGCTGGCACCGTTTAATACCTGTGTTAGCTCACGTTGGCCATTACAGCGTGCTGTGTGGGCACGTGCGTGGAGACATTCAGGATGCAAGGCCAATTAGTGACAAGGGAGGTGGTCTTCTAGGAAGTCCTGCACTAAGTCCTTCGGCTCTCCTGCATCCTGGGTTGTCCCCTGCCATGCTCTCCTCCTGTGCCTTACCCCATCTGCCATGGCTGGGAGGTTTTGGAGGTGGGGCAAATGGCCTGGGAGTTGGGCCACCCCTGATCCCGCAGCGTGAGAAGCAGGCTCTGCAGTGAGAGGACACCTCTGCAGGGACAGAGGTGAAGGGCTGGGTTCGGGCTGACGCAGCATTCATGGGAGGTGTGCGAGTCTGCTTGGAGCCCCCAGGGAAGTGCAGCAGGGGAGTCTGGGTGAAGTCCACCTGGCCTGATTGAGCAGCATATGTTCCTGTGAGAGAGGAAGCTGCCTGGGAAGCCCTGAGCCAGCCGGGGGGAACGTCATGGTGTGGAAGGGCCTCCAGCCACTCGGGGCAGTGTGTCCTCGGGTCTGCATCCCCGGTCCAGCCTGAGGGGACCACTTACATTCTGTAAGCTAGTGATGTGGATCCACTTCTGCTGCTTCTTTCAGTGAAATCATGCAACTTGTTAATCTAGTTCACTTTTTTTTTTTTGAGATGGAGTTTCACTCTTGTTGCCCAGACTGGAGTGCAATAGAGCAATCTCTCAGCTCAGCAACCTCCGCCTCCTGGGTTCAAGCGATTCTCCTGCCTCAGCCTCCCGAGTAGTTGGGATTACAGGCATGCGCCACCATGCCCGGCTAATTTTGTATTTTTAGTAGAGATGGGGTTTCTCCATGTTGGTCAGGCTGGTCTCGAACTCCCGGCCTTAGGCTGCCTCAGCCTCCCAAAGTTCTGGGATTACAGGCGTAAGCCGCCGCGCCCAGCCAGCTAATCCGCATTTTAAGTTGTGGTAAAATGCACACAAAACGTCCTGTTTCAACCGCTGCAAGTGCACAGTTCAGTGGTGTTCAGCACACGCACACTTTTGGGCAACCGTCACCGCCATCCAGCTCCAGAACGTTCTTCATCCTGCAGAACTGAAAACGCTGTCCCCATTAAACGCTCATTTCCTACTCCTCCCTCGGCCAGCCCCCCGCACCCACCATCTTACTACTTTCCGTTGCTAGGAATTTGAGTATTCTGGGGGCCTCGTGTCCGTGGAAGCATACAGTTCTTGTCTGTGTCTGGTTCTCTCCCTGAGCGTCATGTCTTCATGGTTCATCCGTGTTGTGGCCTGTGTCTGAATTGCCTTCCTTTTGATGGTGGAATGATATTCCACTGTGTGGAGAGACCACAGCTTGTTGATCCTTCCATCTGTGGACAGACATGTGGGTTGCTTCCTCCTTTTGGCCACTGTGAACATGGGTTTACAAACGTCTTTTCATGACCCTGCTGTCAGCTGGGCGCGGTGGCTCATCAGCCGGACGTGGTGGCTCATCAGCCGGTCCTGGTGGCTCATCAGCCGGACGCGGTGGCTCATCAGCTGGTCGTGGTGGCTCATCAGCCGGACGTGGTGGCTCACGCCTGTCATCCAGCACTTGGGGAGGCCAAGGCAGGAGGATCTGTTCTCATCTGTCAAATGTTGAGACACAGAGACTTGCTCAAGGCCCCATCCAGCTGAGTGGGGTGGGTCTGGGGTTCGCACTCAGCTCTCCAGAACACATACATACCACCACCCGCCAAGCTGAACTGCCTGACTACTGCAGGGGTCTGTAGCCCCTGCTCTGTATTTCAAGCATAGTAAGAAACGGAGCTGTGTTGATGTCAAAGAACATGATATAGGCCAGTGATTCTTTTATTTTTTTTCAATTGAGAGCGGGTACTGTTTATTAACTGAGCAACTTAGAAAAGTAGTCACGGGAGACGCCTTAGATCATTCCTTTAAAAGCCTGTTGGTCTGCTCCTCCCTGTTGCCAGCGTCTCCACCTTCTACAAAATGGGGGGTCTTTTTCTTCATTCCGCCCCGTGGAGAAGATAATTTAAAGGGCCACAAAAAGTTATTTGCTTCTTTGAAGCGTTTTCCAACAGTCTAGATCTCATGAATCAGATCCTCCATGCAGATGATGCCCTGTTTTCCAAGAGACTGAGCAATCCGAGTGTTCTCTCTCAAAGCGATTCGCTTCTTTTTGATTTTGCCATGACCACGTTTGTAGATTAGTTCATTTACTGACTTCAGATCTGGGTGCCCTCATGTAGTCTGTGGCTCTGCGGTCCTCAGCGTGTTAACCGAAGCCTTGCTGAGCTTCACAGAGGTTCCACTGAAGAGCTGACGAAGGGGAAGACGCCGCAACACCTTTCGGACCCTCGGGCTCACAGCATCGATACCTCTGGTCCTGATCAAAGACGCCAGTTTGGGTTCTGCAGGTGCACAGAGGTGGCCAGCTTTCCCTGCCGTCCTTGCCATTCGAATTTCAGTTCTGTACACCTGCCTGTATTCCCGGTGATGATGCTTCGCTTTTTCATAGACAAGCTTCCTCCCTGCCTTTGGAAGCATCTTTTTCATAGACAAGCTTCCTCCCTGCCTTTGGAAGCATCTTTTTCATAGACAAGCTTCCTCCTCGCCTTTGGAAGCATCTTTTTCATAGACAAGCTTCCTCCTCACCTTTGGAAGCATCTTTTTCATAGACAAGCTTCCTCCTCGCCTTTGGAAGCATCTTTTTCATAGACAAGCTTCCTCCCTGCCTTTGGAAGCATCTTTTTCATAGACAAGCTTCCTCCCTGCCTTTGGAAGCATCTTTTTCATAGACAAGCTTCCTCCTCGCCTTTGGAAGCATCTTTTTCATAGACAAGCTTCCTCCTCGCCTTTGGAAGCATCTTTTTCATAGACAAGCTTCCTCCTCACCTTTGGAAGCATCTTTTTCATAGACAAGCTTCCTCCTCGCCTTTGGAAGCATCTTTTTCATAGACAAGCTTCCTCCCTGCCTTTGGAAGCATCTTTTTCATAGACAAGCTTCCTCCCTGCCTTTGGAAGCATCTTTTTCATAGACAAGCTTCCTCCCTGCCTTTGCAAGCGTCTTTTTCATAGACAAGCTTCCTCCTCGCCTTTGGAAGCATCTTTTTCATAGACAAGCTTCCTCCCTGCCGTTGGAAGCATCTTTTTCATAGACAAGCTTCCTCCTCGCCTTTGGAAGCATCTTTTTCATAGACAAGCTTCCTCCCTGCCTTTGGAAGCATCTTTTTCATAGACAAGGTTCCTCCCTGCCGTTGGAAGCATCTTTTTCATAGACGAGCTTCCTCCCTGCCTTTGGAAGCATCTTTTTCATAGACGAGCTTCCTCCCTGCCTTTGGAAGCATCTTTTTCATAGACGAGCTTCCTCCTCGCCTTTGGAAGCATCTTTTTCATAGACGAGCTTCCTCCCTGCCTTTGGAAGCATCTTTTTCATAGACAAGCTTCCTCCTCGCCTTTGGAAGCATCTTTTTCATAGACAAGCTTCCTCCCTGCCTTTGGAAGCATCTTTTTCATAGACAAGCTTCCTCCTCACCTTTGGAAGCATCTTTTTCATAGACAAGCTTCCTCCTCGCCTTTGGAAGCATCTTTTTCATAGACAAGCTTCCTCCTCGCCTTTGGAAGCATCTTTTTCATAGACAAGCTTGCTCCCTGCCTTTGGAAGCATCTTTTTCATAGACAAGCTTCCTCCCTGCCTTTGGAAGCATCTTTTTCATAGACAAGCTTCCTCCCTGCCTTTGGAAGCATCTTTTTCATAGACAAGCTTCCTCCCTGCCTTTGGAAGCATCTTCTGGGCAAACTTCTTTCTCAGGCGCTTGATCTTCGGCACTGCGAAATTCCTTCTCTTTTTCTTAAGGGTTTCTGGCACAGCAGGAACCTTCTTCTTTTCTACACCCTCCATGGTTCCAGCAGGAAAAAGAGGAAGTTCAGGCCAGTGATTCTGAAACATCCTATAACCCGCCCATGGAACAGTGGCCACAGAACACACTGTGGGGCTGGCCGGGAGAGAACCCAGAGAGGTGGGTGAGGGGAAGGAACACTAGGCCCATGCTTCTGGAGAGGAAACTTTCAGATGGAGACAGCACAGCACGAGCTACCACACTTAGAAACTGATCCCTCCCAGCTGCGGCTGCATGAAAACTGCAAGCACACCACGGACCCCTGTCCCTCCCACCACCCCAGCTTCACTGCAAGCAACAGGGGAGCCCTGCGAGGCCTGACAATGGGTTGTCTCCAAATTCAGGCCGCCAGGGACAGGCGGGGCTGGGAGTGCTCAGTCTGCTGGGCTGGCAGGCCTGGCGCCCCCTGCTGCACGCAAAGGAGATGACAGGGGAGCTGGGCAAGCATCCATCAGGGTGCTGGGCACCCGAGGGGTTCTCTCATCTCCAGATCTCAGGGCGACTCCCCATGGGACTCCTGGGGAAAAAACTTAGCACGGTCGGATTACAGGTTTGTTTCTGTCACTTGAAGCCCTTATTTTAGAGGATGGCCCCATCTCTGTGAATGAACCAAACCAGGGCCTGGAGTCATCTGAGAGCTCCTCATCCCCACGCCCAGGCCCTTCCCTTTGCTGGTTCCTTCACCATTCTGGCTGTGGGACCCTGTCCTTCCTCACCTGGGTAGCTCCCAGCAGGCCCTGCAGCCCACCTCACTCATCCGCTGTGTGGGGTAGAGGGTTGCCAGGAATACTATTTGTCCAGCCCTGGGAGGGCCGTGCTTGTCATTCTCCAGTTCCTGTTTTCCCTGGCTCGGGGTCAGGTGCTTACAGACATGCTGCTTCAGTTAAACTATCCACAGCAGGCACGCAGGCTGTAAACCAGAACACAGAAACTGGGTCTCCTTGGCAAGCAAGCGTTTATTTCCAGACTTTTGTAAATATTAACTCAGTGATCACGACAAACACGGAGCAATCTCAATGCTGTTTATCCGGAGGACGGTCTGCGGGGTCACAACGACTGAAAGAAAAGATGTCATGGGCTTGACCACAGACTCTGTTGCCATCAGTTACAGCAGGGGCTGTGCACACAGCCCTCCCCTGCACTGTCCCCTGCCGCACATGGCCATGTTTATCTCCAGGTGTGTGTGCGCTGACTGCCTTGCTAGCCTGTTCTCTCACTCTGTCAGCAGGTGCAGAGGCTGGGACACCAGACGCCTGTGGCTCGGAGTGCTCTGTGCTGGCACCTCACCTCTCTTTTTTTTTTTTTTTTTTTGAGACAAGAGTTTTGCTCTTGTTACCCAGGCTGGAGTGCAATGGCGTGATCTCGGCTCACCGCAACCTCCACCTCCTGGGTTCAGGCAAGTCTCCTGCCTCAGCCTCCTGAGTAGCTGGGACTACAGGCACGCGCCACTGTGCCCAGCTAAGGCACCTCACCTCTCTTCCCACACTATGTTGTGACCTCTAGAGTTCGTGGGAGGATGGCCCCACCTGACTTCCCCTGAGGCTACCTGGAAGTGTTAGTAGGTACACGAGAGGCTGCCCTACCCAGCTGACTGTAAGGTGACAGCCAGTACCAGTATTGTGGATATATGTAACTACGCCCACTGTTGGTGGTTTAGGCAACTGCAGCTGTAACGAGCTAGCAGAGGCGGAATTCTGCAGCCGCTCAGCTGTGGCCCTGTGCCTCACGGCGTTCTGTCTCTCAGGATGCTCACTGTGGGGACTGTCCTCGGTGTGGCCCTGCAAGGACGGCCCCAGGCCTCATGGGCTGGAACAAAGTGGGATCACGCGTGGGGGGCCAAGGAGCAGGGGAGTGGGGCTGGGCCCTCTGGGTGCCCCCTCCGAGATGAGGGTAGAAAGTGGGCAGTGGCAGCCAGAATGAGGCCTGCCTGGGCTTCCTGTCCTGAGACCCACATGCCCACACCCTCCACCCACCCGTGCCTGGAAACCTGCACCGTGCAGCAGGGCCCCTCGGTGCTTTCTTGAACTTACTTCTCTTCTTCTGGAAGTTTTTCCTTTTCCTAAATCTCATAATGATTCTTGGCCACGATTCCGTCTTTTCAATGACGGTGGCTTCTACTCGGACAAGATCTTTTCTAGAAGGAAGAAATATAAACAATGATGTACCTTTTGGATTGTTATTTTTATTATTTTTCTTCTAAAGATGAGGTTTCTCCATGATGGCCAGGCTGGTCTTGAACTCCTGACCTCAGGTGATCCACCCACCTCGGCCTCCCAAAGTGCTGGGATTACAGGCGTGAGTCTCCGCGCCCAGCTGGATTATTTTTCAAATGCTTTAGGTGGGAATTTCTAAAATGAAGTCTTACTTTCTCTTTTGTTGATTATGAAATATGCCCTCAATGTAAACATTTTGAAAACCATAAAAAAGAACCACAAAGAACAGTTCTGGAGAGTCTGTGAACAAATGTTTTTTTATTTTTTTTGAGACAGTTTTGCTCTTGTTGCCCAGGCTGGAGTGCAGTGGTGCTATCTCGGCTCACTGTAACCTCCACTGCTTGGGTTCAAGCCATTCTCCTGCCTCAGCCTCCTGAGTAGCTGGGATTATAGGTGTCCACCACCATGCCTGGCTAATTTTGTATTTTTAGTAGAGACGGGGTTTCTCCATGTTGGCCAGGCTGGTCTCAAACTCCCAACCTAAGGTGATCCATCCCCCTAGGCCTCCCAAAGTGCTGGGATTATAGGTGTGAGCCACCGTGCCAGGCCCAGCCACCCCGTCCAGCCCTGTGAACAAATCTTAAGAGGACCACATCGTAATAAAATAGCAAGAGACCAATAATTTGGCCTGGATGTTCTCATGGGCCCTAAATGTCCACTATTACTAAGTATAAATGTTGTCTTTGGTGTCAACAGAGAATACGATTGCCACCCCCGACCTGGCCTAATTGCACTGTGACCACTGTGTGCATGTCCAGCCCTGGAGCCCCACACCAAAGCCCCACACCAAAGCCCCACACTTCACAGCCATTACCCGAGGAGCGGCTTGCCAAGAAGCGTGAAGTTGTCTGCCCCGACCAGCAGGACCTGAAAAAATTCAACAGGTGCGTTTAATCAGCAGCTCATGACAGCGAGTGACATAGTCGCTAATAACAGAGAGTGACGTGAGCACAATGCAGAATGAGAAAGACTGACCACGCTGTGACGTCAGTTTCATCTGGCCGCTCCTGATCTCTTTAACGTTCAACTCCTGGGGCCGTGAGCCAACCAGCGCACAGCCGTGGGGCGGCCTGAGGGAAACGCTCGAGCCCTCAGAGGCAGGAGACACACAACTTGATTACTAGATACCATGGATATGCATCTAGATAGCTGCTAGTGACCCTCATAGCAACCGTGGCTTCAAAAACCCTATCTGTCCAAGCATAACATACAGAGAAAATGCACAGTTCATCCGACCGTGTCTACTGGCGCAGCTGGCAATTCTGCTGGTATTGCGATGATTTAGGCTCAACGACCGCCAAATTCGGAAGAGCCAGGCAGCCATTCGCAATGCAGGGAAATCATGACACCAAGCGTGGCTGCAGATGAAGACATCTTTGCCTTCCCAATGCAACAGTGCTTTTTCTTTCTTTTTGAGCTGGAGTCTTGCTCTGTCACCCAGACTGGAGTGCAGTGGCGAGATCTCGGCTCACTGCAACCTCCACCTCCCAGGTTCATGCGATTCTCCTGCCTCAGCCTTCAGAGTAGCTGGAACTACAGGCTCCTGCCACCACACCTGGCTAATTTTTTTTTTTTGGTATTTTTATTAGAGACAGGGTTTTACCACGTTGGCCAGGCTGGTCTCGAACGGACCTCGGGTGATCTACCCACCTTGGCCCCCAAAGTGCTGAAATTCCAGGCATGAACCACTGTGCCCAGCCTACGGTGTTTCTATTAGATGTTGGCGATCATCGTAAATTTTACTGACTAGAAAAAATCCAATCATACTAAACTTAAATGCCTAGAGACAAAGTATGTCATGTAATGAGCTCAGCAGACCTGCGTATCAGGTAATGACAAATAATAAAATCAGTATTTTTAGAGTTAGAAAGCAGTGGGTTTCCCGTGATGAGAAACAATCTGCTTAGGAGAAGCTTTCTGGAATTTTTTGTTAAAGTGAAATGTTTCAAATAATGCAAAGGTCTACCTTCAGCGGAGGAATTTTAGAAAATCACGTATCTCGTGTGTGTGTGTGTGTGTGCGTGTGTGTGTGTGTGTGTGATGGAGTCTCGCTCTTGTTGCCAGGCTGGAGTGCAGTGTCGTGATCTCGGCTCACCGCATCATCCGCCTCCTGGGTTCAAGCAATTCTCCTGCATCAGCCTCGGGAGTAGCTGGGATCACAGGCGCCTGCCACCATGCCCGGCTAAGTTTTTCTATTGTTAGTAGAAACAGGGCTTCACCGTGTTGGCCAGGATGGTCTCAATCTCCTGACCTCGAGATCCACCCACTTCAGCCGCCCAAAGTGCTGGGATTACAGGCATGAGCCACTGTGCCCAGCCACAATCGTGTATCTTATACTGTGATAATTAAGCATCCCAGAAAAGTTACCTGTTGCAGAGGTAAGTATAATTTTATAAACAGAGTAGGCAAGAATCAAATAGACGCCGTCCCGCCCCCGCTCCCCCCAGCAGACAGAATTAGAGCTAAAGGCTAGAACTGCTTAGCTAAATAGACCATGCAGTTTTTTTTGAGATGGGGTCTCGCTCTGTTGCCCAGGCTGGAGTGCAGTGGGCAATCATAGCTCATTGCAGCCTCGACTTCCGAGGCTCAAGTGATCCTACTTGAGCCTCACAAAGAGCTGGGAGTAATCTGTGTGCCACCATGCCCAGCTAATTACTTGGAATTTCAGTAGAGACGAGGTATTTGAGGTCTTACTGTGTTGCCCAGGCTGGTCTGGAACTCCTGAGTTCAAGCATACTGCCTTGGCCTCCCAGTGTGGGGCGGGTCATGCCTGGCCTAGACCATGCGGTTCTCAATGGTGTGTAAGACACATGAGCACCCAGGGATATGCCCGTCAGCCAGTCTTCACTATTTAAAACAGCAGCTGCTGTCAAAGCTAATGGCAGAGAAGTGTCTTCATAGAAACTGCATTTTTCCTCATAGACCTGGGCTAGAAAGTGCACCACGTCCTTAGCTGGGATTTTTATGATCTCTGCACTCAAGCATTTTTCCATGGGAATACATTAGTAAGACGGGAAGGCAGCGCTATAGAGACATGTCTGTGCAATGCGCGGTCCCCCTTCCTCCAACAGACCTACTGGGCCAGGCGCCGCCCTCAGAGCAGCGGAGGCCTGCCCTGCCCTGGGACCCCAGCCCCGCTGTGGGCATCCCCCACAGTCCCTTCTGAGCCTCGGCTTTGTTGGCCTCCACCTGAGACTGGGGGAACCCTTGTCAGTGTGAGCTGGGGCATGGGGATTGCATATTTGGTGGCTGAGCCGCTGGTCCCTGAATGTCCAGAGAAGCTTGGTGGTCTCACCTTCTCCAGTCGAATTCTGTCTCCACACTGGAGGTCTAGATCATTTCCAATTAAGATCAGGTCTTCGGAGGTCACCTTCCACTGGTGGCTGGCAAAGTGTACCACCGCAAAGAGCCTGCCGTACTGCCCCGTGGCGATGAGCTCATTCACCTTCCTCACGACCTCTGCAGGGAAGGCGGGTGGGCAGGCAGTCACCCTCCACTGCTCCCCCATGTACTGCAGTGTGACGTGCAGCTCCTGGTGGACGTGACGCCAGCACCCGTGAGCACCTCACTGCGGGCGGCCTAGCCCTGTTCCACCTCCTGCAGGCACAAGTGTGGGCACAGGGCCAGTCTGCTGCTCCAGGAGCACTGGCACCATGGCACGTGGGGCTTTCACAGACAGACGCTCTGCAAGACTGCAGAGAACGCCCAAACCACCTCCTGCAACTTTCTCGCCTAAGCACTCGGCAGGCCTGGCTACGTTTCTACAACTCTAGGGTGGGCAAAGCCCTCTACCTCGCTCATTCCCATTCGTTATTATTATTTTTTTTTGAGACGGAGTTTCGCTCTTGTTACCCAGGCTGGAGTGCAACGGTGAGATCCCGGCTCACCGCAACCTCCGCCTCCTGGGTTCAGCCAATTCTCCTGCCTCAGACTCCTGAGTAGCTGGGGTTACAGGCACGCGCCACCATACCCAGCTAATTTTTTGTATTTTGAGTAGAGACGGGGTTTCACCATGTTGACCAGGATGGTCTCGATCTCTTGACCTTGTGATCCACCCGCCTTGGCCTCCCAAAGTGCTGGGATTACAGGTGTGAGTCACTGCACCCGGCTTCCCATTCATTATTAATGAGGAACCAGCAGGCCAGGAGTGTAAAAACCCTCAGAAGCAAAAGGAGAGGCCTTTGCCATGAGGAATCCCCCGCATCCCATCCCCACATCCCACCCCTGGGGCAGGACGGGTTCTCCCTGCATGCCTGTGCCCATAGGGGCTTCATGCTCCATTCCTGTCATCGCTGTTCTGAAACAGGTCACAGTCCCCTCTCTCCTGTACCATTTACTCTGAACAAGCATTTAATGTGCACCAACCCCTGGCCCGACTGAGGGCTGGACACACAGAAGGGACGACAGAGCGCCTGCCCCTGAAACACTGTCAACACCAGAGCGCCGGCATCAGGGGCGAAAGTCTCAGTGGACTTGTTTCACTTGCACAGTATCTGAAACAGCATTTAAAATGTTAAAAGGCCAGGCGTGGTGGCTCACGCCTGTAATCCACTTTGGGAGGCTGAGGCAGGTGGATCATGAGGTCAAGAGTTCGAGACCATCCTGGCCAACATGGTGAAACCCCGTCTCTACTAAATACAAAAAAAATTAGCCGGGCATGGTGGCGCGTGCCTGTAATCCCAGCTACTTGGGAGGCTGAGACAGGAGAATCGTTTGAACCCAGGAGGCGGAGGTTGCAGTGAGCCGAGAATGCGCCATTGCACTCCAGCCTGGGTAACAAGAGCGAAACTCCGTCTCCCAAAAAAAAAAAAAAAAAAAAAAAAAAAATTGTAAGATAAAATGTAAGAAGATTCCACTCAAGAATCTTGATTTCCAGCGTTTTGGAAAGCGAGGATCATGGGTCCCTTTTGACATGTGCTTCAGGTCGACATGAGTACTGACGCCCCTCTGTGTTTCTCCAACAGCCAGGGTGGCACTCACTGGCTTCCATTAACTGTGCTGGACTGGGGAGAGCTGTCCCTGAGCCCACCAGGAGCGGGAGACGAGCGATGAAGCAGGGCCCCTGCCTCACTATGCCAGCTGCCTGCAGTGCGGCAGGTGTTCGAGGAGTAGTTAAACGAGTAACGCTTCAAACACTGACACTGACTGGCAGAAATGGACAAGAGCGCTCGCCCTGCACTGTGTCTGGGAGCACCAGAAACACGGAGCCCTCGCTCTGTGGCCTGGGGGCCACCTCTGTGGTGACGGGAGCAAGGTCTGGGTGGTGCCCTCCAGTTTCTGCTCCCAGGGAGGTCTTACCCGCATGGTGTCTGGTCTCCTCAACGGGGTCTGGCAAGACAATTTCTGGCCATGGAGGTGAACTCAGGGAGGTTTTAGGAACATATCTGTAAAACACATTCCATACACAAATGTCACACGCATTTGAAAAGGCAGCTCAAAGCCCCCAAGAAATGGCCATACACAAATGTTAGGAAGGGACCCCAGGCCACAGAAAGGCTGGCTCTTTAGGACAGGCCTCGCCCCTCTGCGGTAACCCGAGGACAGGCTCCCTGCATCCTCTTACAGCAACAGGGAGCACTGGCTCATCATTCGCTCATTAAAGCAGGAACTCTCAGCGCTCTGCTCCAAGAGCCCCCACTTGGGCACCTCTCAGTGCTGCAAGGGTGCCCATCCAAGGAAGCTGGGCTCATGGTGTCTCGGGACACACTTATCTTGGAGGCACAGGCTGAAATGCCCAGCCCTCCACTTTCCCCACAACCCGGGATACAGGGCCAGCAGCTCTCCTGCCTCGTCTGGCATCCAGTGGCCCTGGAATGGCAGCTCCAATGACCCTTTGCCACATCCTGCTCAAACAGGACCATGTTCCCTGCCCCTGCCCACCTCCAACTCCTCCCAGGTTAAGTGCCTGCTCTTCCTTCATGTCCAGATGACTGACAGGTAGAACTGACTCTGACCCCTGACAATTAGTCCTGGTGTCTAAAATTGAGCAGATGGGAAAACAAGAACCTGCTGGAAAGGGCTGTGTTGGGATTAGATGGCTACTGTTCCCAGCCGGCCCCAGCACCACCAGTGCTCTCAGTCCCAGCAGCTGTATAGCACCACGGTCCCCAGCTACCTCCCCTCCCCACCCTCAGGATGCCAGGCTTGGTGCAGGCAACACCTTTTTTTTTTTTTTTTTTGAGATGGAGTTTTGCTCTGTCGCCCAGGCTGGAGTGCAGTGGCACAGTCTTGGCTCACTGCAACCTCTGCCTCCAGGGTTCCAGCAATTCTCCTGCCTCAGCCTCCTGAGTAGCTGGGATTACAGGCAAATGCCATCATGCCTGGCTAATTTTTGTATTTTTAGTAGAGACAAGGTTTCGCCACGTTGGCCAGGCTGGTCTCAAACTCCTGGCCTCAAGTGATCCGCCCGCCTCAGCCTCCCAAAGTGCTGGGATGACAGGCGTGAGACACCGCGCCTGGTCCACAGACTTCTTCCTTTCCTGACTCTTCCCCAGCCTGCTCAGCCTCTGGCGGGTTGAGGGATATAAGAGGGGAGGAAAGAAAGGGAGGGCCTAGATTCAAAAGGAGGTGGGATCTTTCTGACTTTGCGCTGTCTGCGAAGAGGGAGGGTAGGCAGATTCCAAACCCAATTATTGAGAATTCTTTTTAAGCTTTCATTCCTGCTGCCGCTGCAAAGTAAAGTTTCACTCTTTCTGCTCCAGTGCCACGTTGGGAAGGAGAAAACTACCTGCTCCATATGCAGAACGTGCGGCCCTCACACCAAGGACCAGGTCTGTCCCTGCTGCTGGCTAGCGCGCAGGAGGGGCTCCACACACATCTGGGAGAGGAATGAATGCTTTCCCAGCGGGGAAGGGCCTGCAGCTCCTACAAACATGAACTCCCTGGTCTGTGGCTAGTCAGTGACCTGACGGACAAGGAGGAGAAGGAAGGTACTGGTCTCTACAAAACGTCTCTGACGTGCTTGATGGCTATCTCCCCAGACGGGCCCAGCCATGCTCAGTGTGAGAACACACTGGCAGGAGGTGCTAACCTCTCACACAGGACAAAGCAAGCACAACCTGGCCACATGCTAATGCACAACTTCTTCCTATGCTCAGATCTACAGCTTCTCTGAGAAGCAAGAAAGCCTCCGCACCTCCCCACTGCGGAGGAGCCCTGGAGTCCCAGCAGCAGTAAGAGCAGGAAACGTTTTGTGAGCACTTACTGTATGCCGGGCACTGTTGTAAGCGCTTTAAATGTATACACTTACATAATCCTCTCCAGCACTCGGGGAGATAGAAACAAACACAGATAGAAACAGAGGCTTCTCCTCTGGGAGAAGCCCGGCGTCCCAGGCGGTGAGAGGCAGCCGGCCTGCACCCCGGGGCTCCCCTATGGCCACTGCTCCCGTGTCTCCTACCAGTGAGTGGACTCTGTCAAATGTTTTCTGCAGCTTATAATACCTTAAAAATGATTTTCTCAAGTACAAAATATCAACACTGAACGTGCTTTTTCAAATAGTGAGTTTCTCTGAGAGACCCTGATACAACCTTCCTCATCAGAAATCTTGATTTAGGACTTCCGGCTTCTCCACAGTAAAAGGGAGCAGACACACGCGGTCTTTCTCTTTGCTTTCCTGCAGTTACGTCTTTATTTATTTTAAAGGTCTGAGAAAAATACCGTCAAAAAAGTTAAAGCCAGAAGTGGTGGTGCATGCCTGTCATCCCAGCTACTCAGGAGGCTGTGGCGGGATTACTTTAGGCCAGGAGTTCAATACCAGTCTGGGAGACATAGTGAAAATGTCTTAAAAAAAAGGAAATTTAAACATTATTGAGAACCAAAAGGTAGGAAGTTTTGATTTTAAGAAGACAGTTCTACAAATAAAGGAAAAGAGGCACCAAAACCCACATTTCGGTATTACCCTGGTGGAAATGAAGTGCTCTGCGAATTGAACCTTTGAGCAGCAGACCAAAGGGAGGCTGAGGGAAGAAGAGAGACACGGATCATTACTATTAACACCACGAATGCACACCTGCTCCTCCTGTATGCGGTGTAAACTACTGCCTGTCAAGCTGCCTAGAGGAACACCTAGGCGAGCAAAACTAAAAGAATGTCACTTACAGCTACCAGCTATGTGTGCTGGGCTCAGTTTGCCAAGCCTGAGACCAGAAGCACCCACCCATTAACTCATGCCTTCACCAAGTGCCCAGTAGGTTCAGACCCTGTTCCGTGCCCAAGTGTAGGAGCAGCCTCCAAGATAACCCTGCTGAGCCCCGCCTCCTGCTATTCTGGCCCGTCACCCGTCATCCCCCAAGGAGTGGTCTGTGTGTCCGACAGGTTGTGACAGATGTGCCAGCTCATCACTTCCGGGATTAGGTGATAACCAACTGGGCCTTCCATCTTGGATGCCCGCGCTCACTCTCTCCGATCTTAGCCTTAGGGCAGCCCCGCTGTGAGCAGCCCTACGTAGAGGTCCACGTGGTGGGGAACTGGGCCTATCGCCAACACCCACAGGAACGACCTTGCAAGTGGATTCTCCAGCTGCTGGTGCAGTGGAATCTTGAGAGAACTACAGTCCACGTGAGCTAATGAGACCGAGCCAGAACCAGCCACCTAAGCTGCTCCTGTGTTCTTGACCCTCCGAATTGGTGTGAGGTTATAAATGTTTTCAGCTGCTAAGTTTTGGGGCAATCTCTGATGTAACTGTAGTTATCGACTAGACCAGGGAACAAAGCATTCAGCCTACTGAGAAGGGCTCAAAATAGGTGCTTCGGTGCAAAAAGCGGAGAACAGGTTTCTCAAAAATCACTTTTATTTTTCATTTATTTATTTATTTTAAAGACAGGGTTTCACCATGTTGGCCAGGCTGGTCTTGAACTCCTGACTTCAGGTGATCCGCCCACCTTAGCCTCCCAAAGTGCTGAGATTACAGGCGTGAGCCACCACGCCTGGCCAATAACCACTTTTAAAGAAATTAAGCTATACTCTACACACCATAAAAGTCACCCTTTTAAAGTTCACCCATTAGCACTGGCCCCCTGTTTGTGTCTCCTCGGCTGTCTTCTCTCCTCTCCCATTTGGGTGCCTGGGGTCCAACCCTGGGCCTTTAGCTCTCCTCCGTCCATGGCCATTCCTCTGGTGACTGCATCCACTCTGATGGATTTAAATGCCCCGGATGTGCTGGTGACTCCCAGGTTGACACCTCCAGCCAGGGCTTCTCCCCTGGACTCGCATACCCACCTCCCACTGTGTCTGATGAGCACCTCACACCTCCAGAGGCTCCTCGTTTCTCCCCATGCCTGCGTCTCTCACACTCCTCCCTCTCACGAGGGCAACTTCATCCTCCCAGTTGCTCAGGACCCAAACCTCCGTCAGTTTTGACCCTCCTTCTCTTGCACACTACTCAGCCAACCCATCGGCAACTCCTATTGGCTCTCCGTTCAAGCGATCCAGGATCTAACCACGTACATCCTGCAAGGCACCGCCTTCTCCTGCCTGGATCACTCCTAACACTCGACCCTCACTCTTACCTTCCTTTCCTGCACGGCAGCTAGAGGAATTCTGTTAACACGTAGGCCAGAAGATGTCTCCATTTTGCGGAAACTCTCCAAGAGCTTCCCATTTCCTTCAGAGAAAAAGCCAAAGTTCTCACAGCAGTGGGCAGGGTGCCCGGAAAGGCGGGGCAATGCGACCTCCTCCTGCCTCTCGCCTCTCCTCTCGGAATCTACCTCTGTGGTTCTTCCCCCGGTTAACTCTTCATCCACACTCCGCTTCCCTGCAGTTCCTGGAATGTACCAGGCTCAAGCGGGCATCCACGTCCTTGTGTGAGCTGTGCCCTCACTTCCTTCATGTTTCCATGCAAACACCATCTCAGGAGAGAAGGTCTCTTTCCTTAGGAGAGATCACCCCTTTGCCAGGTGTGGTGGTGTGACCCTGTAGTTCTAGCTACTTGGGATGCTGAGGCACGAGAATCCCTTGAACCCAGGAGGCGGAGGTTGCAGTAAGCTGAGACTGTGACACTGCACTCCAGCCTGGGCAACAGAGTGAGACTCTGCCTCAAAAAATAAAAGAAAAAAGAAAAAAAGAAAAAACTTATCCTAAGCCATCTGATGCTGCTATAGAAATATTCCAGTGATTCTGAACTCAGCATCTCTCTTGGAAGCCATCCCATTGTGAAAAACTCAGCAAGCTTCTGTACCTAATTTGCTTTTAGCTTTGGCCTTGGGTCCACAGGGAACAAACATTCTGCTTCCTCTCCCACAGTATTTCCTTTAGATCATCCTGGAGACTGTGACTCTGCACTCTTCAGGGACCCAGCTGCACACTGTTTTGGTCACTTTCTCTGTACTCACTTCGCTGTGTGTCTTCTTCTCTTAAAGCGTGAGTCTGTACTTGAACACAGCATTGGAGGGGTGGTTTCATGTAGGTAGGTAGAATGGAGTAAGTCCCACTGCTTTTGTAAAAACTTTCCCGCCTACTTAAACCCAAGTTTTATTATGGAAAATGCCAAGCATACAAAAGTAAAGAGAACTCTCATGAACGCTCTCTCAATTATCCCTTCCCAGGTTCAACAGTTACCAACTCATGGTTGATTTCGGCATCTGCATTGCTTCTTGCCCAACTCTGTGACTATTATTACTTTCTTAAATTAATACTTGCTTAATACAGACTTTATTTTCTAGGGTAGTTTTAGTTTCACACCAAAATGGAGTGGAAGGTACAGAGAGTTCCCATACGTCCCCTGCCCATGTCCCACGGCCTCCTATCAGTATGCCCCACCAGGCTGGCACACTCCTTACAATCAATGAACCTACACTGTCACATCATTGTTGTCCTCAGTCCATAGTTTACATTAAGGTTCACCCTTAGTGGTGTACATTCTACGGATTTGGACAAAATTAAAATGGCATGTATCTACCATTGTATTATACGTACAGAATAGTTTCACTGCCCCCCAAATCCTCTGAGCTCCACCTATTCATTCTTTCCTCCCAAATCCCATTATCTCTCATCTATCTTTTTACTGTCTCCATAGATTTGCCTTTTCCAGAATGTCAAAGTGGGAAACATACAAGATGTAGCCTTTTCTGGTTGGCTTCTTTTACTTAGTAACATGCATGTAAGTTTCATCCATGTCTCTTCATGACTCATTTCTTTCTATTGTATGGATGTGCTCCAGTTCATGTAACCATTCATATCCTGAAGGACATCTGGGTTGCTTCCAAGTTTTGGCAATTATGGAACAATTCTTTTTTTTTGAGATGGAATTTCGCTCTCGTTACCCAGGTAGGACTGCAGTGGCGCCATCTCGGCTCACCGCAACCTCTGCCTCTTGGGTTCAAGCAGTTCTCCGGCCTCAGCCTCCCGACTAGCTGGGATTACAGGCGGGCGCCACCACGCCCAGTTAATTTTTGTATTTTTAGTAGAGACGGGGTTTCACCATGTTGACCAGGATGGTCTCGATCTCTTGACCTCGTGATCCACCTGCCTCAGCCTCCCAAAGTGCTGGGATTATAGGCGTGAGCCACCGCGCCCGGCTAGAACAATTCTTTAAATAGAGTTAGATTCAGTTTGTCTTTTTTGGGGTCATGGTGAGACATGAGATCGGGTTTAAAAGACACATAAACACTCGTACACACAAATATACACTTCATTTTCAGGCAGAGATTTACAGAGTTTTCAACCTTTTTGGAGCCTCACATCAGCCCAGCGCCTTAAATACGGCTGTTTCATTTGTTGAGCTCAGATTAGGCGAGGATATTCATCATCATTTTTCAGAGCTGCTCGCAGGCTGGGGCAATGGTTCAAGCACAGGCTTTGGAGCCGAACTGAGCTGCGCCTGAAGCACTCACTCTTCTTCCCCTTCCCCGCTGAGAGACCCTGGACAGGTTACCTAGCTCCTCTGAGCCTCAGCCTGGTCCCCCATAATATAGGGGCTATACCAAAGTTCAAGGGCTATCGTCAGAATTCAAGCTACCAACTGAAGGAATCAGAATCTGATCCTGGGTTCCCCCGCCTCCAAAACCCGTTCTATATTCATTCAGTACAAACGCGATCAACACACAAGGCACCAGGTCGGACCCCGGCACATACATGGCGAGACTGCAGGGAGCAGCGCTCGCTCCGCGTCCTCCCTTCATTCCATATCCCGGGTCTCACCCGCTCCGGGCCCAGAAGGTCTCAGGATGCTGCGGCTGCACGCGGACGCCAGCCGCCCGAAGGTGACGGTCAGGGCGGTTGCCGCCATGGCCGCCGCCATCTTCCCGCAGCTTCGGCCGGAAGCGGAAGCGACGCGAACCTCGTGCGTAACGTACGGGCCCGGTGGGGAACGCCGGTCCGTTTGTAACACCGCCCCGGCGCGGAAGCGGGATACCTGCTGCTCTGGGCCCAAGCTGACGGCGGCGATGGCCTCGGCGGCTGTGGAAAGCTTCGTGACCAAGCAACTGGAGCTGCTGGAGCTCGAGAGAGACGCGGAGGTGGAGGAGCGAAGGTACAGGCGGCCGCCGGCGCTGCTCCCTCGCGGTCGGGCCCGCGGTGTCCTGGGCAGAGTCTCCGAGGGGCTCGGCCTCACAGCCTGGGGCGGGAATTTCGTCTCCGACTCCCGGGTCCGGGCCAGGGACCGTCCGTCCCCTGCTTGGCCACCTCCCGAGTTGTCAGTCTCGTCACCTCCCGGGCAGCGCGTTCCGTTTTGGGACCCTTAAGAAGCCCTTTTATTTCTCGACCCGAGACCCCCCCAACGCTTACACTCTGGGCTCCGGCTCGACCCCAGTTCCGCCCCCCGCGGGTTAGCAGCCCTTTCCCTTATTCATCCAGTAAACATGGTTTGCGCCCGTTCCGTGCCAGGGCCCGGCAGCGTGAGTCAGGTGCAGTGGCTGCCTCGGATGCGGCCGACTGCGGGCTGGGCCTGAGCAGAGTCCCTTGCCCTCCAGCGCCTCGAGGTCCGGCTGCGCGCTTGTGGCGGGGAACGAGCCTGGAGGAGGAACGCCCTTCCCCGGGGAGGGTCAGGGTGGCTTCAAGGAGGAGGTGGTGCCTGAAGGAAAATTGGAGTTAAGCCGTGGATGCGGGATGGGGTGGGGAGCAGTCCTGAGAGGTGTGGGGAGCCACGTGAGAGCTGGCCTTGCTTCCGAATGGGATTATTTGTCCAAAACGAACAGAGCTAACACACATATACTTTGCATGCGTTAATTCCTATACATCTCTGCCAACCCTGCAAGGTAGGTTTCTATTACTGTCATTTGCCGTCTAAGGAGATGGAGACAGAGGGGTTAAGTAACTTGCCCAGGGTGACACGCTGTAACCCGATTTGCCATCAGGCACTCGGCTTCCAGAGTTTGCAGGCAGCCATAGGTCCGAGAGGCTTTTGATCATGGCATTGAGAGCTTTTGCAGTCACTTTATCAGAATCCCAGCTCCCAGCTCCTTCGTATATGGCTGTGTGACTTCGCAGGTTCTGTCTTGGAGCCTTACTTACTTCATCCGTGAAAGTGGGATGATTCCCACCTGACAGGTTTGCCCTGAAGGAAACGATCCCGTCAGTCCGGTGCTCAGAACCGTGCCAAGGACAGAGTCAGCCCCCGTGGCAGTGGCTCTTCCTGAGGACGCTGAGCAGACTGGCAGGGCTAACCGGGAAGGGCCAGGCTAAGGAGCCAGCCTTCTGTTCCGTGTGCGCAGGATTGGCCATCAGCGGGGTTAAGCAGCAGAGGGAGGTGAATAGATTTGCATTATTAGGAGGGTCTCTGGGTCTCCTGTATTTGATTGGACTAGGAGAGGCCAGAAATAAGGTAGTTGAGAGGCTCTTTTTAGCCCAGGTGAGCAGTGATGTGGATTTGAACCGGGGCTGTGGCAGCCAGGAAAAGAGGCAGAGAAGTCCAGGTAGAAATAGGGGGATCCTGAGAGGACTGAGTGACAGATGGGAGTAGAGCGGGGAACACCAACAGGAGCATCTGTCTCAGGTAACTGGGAGAAGGCTTGTGGCATTAAGTGCCCTAGGGGGACGTAGAAGGAGCGGGTTTGGGAGTGGAGCAGATTCAGAGTTCCATGGGGACAGATTCAGTGCCCGTGAGTAGATCTTTATCTGTGTTTCTTTCTCTTTTACTTTTCCTGCATGGGTGGAAGTAGAAACTGGTAAAAATCCTGAAGCATCAATACCAGGTGTCTTCCAGGTCCTGGCAGGAGAGCATCTCTCTGAAAGAGCTCCAGAGCCGAGGCGTGTGTTTGCTGAAGCTGCAGGTGTCCAGCCAGCGCACAGGGCTGTACGGACGGCTGCTGGTGACCTTGGAGCCCAGGCGGTGCGGTTCTGCGGCAGCTCTCCCCAGTAACAGCTTCACTTCCGGTGTGTGCCTATTCACCCAGACAGACGCTGCACTTGACGGGCATTCAGACTGCCTTGTGCCCTCATAGAGACTGGATTACCGTGACCAGGTGGAGAGCAAAGCATTGTGGCGGAGAACTCTTAATCAGAAGTCCAACAGTTGATGTGGGTTTGGGTTGTCTAGATTAGCATTGTCCAAAATGGAAGCCGTTCGCCACGCGTGGTCATCAAGCGTTTGAAGTGTGGCTTGTGACTGACACAGATACAGAATACACAACAGATGTGGAAGATTGTGTTAAGGACAGTTGGGAATATCTCCAGTGATTGTTCTGGAATACCGATGAGACGTTGAAGTATTTTTCATATATTGGGTTACATATGTTGTTATTATAATTTACCCATTTCTTTTAATTTTTTTTGAGCCAGAATCTCACTCTGTAACCAGGCTGGAGTGCAGTGGCATGATCTTGGCTCACGGCAACCTCCGCCTCCTGGGTTCAAGCGATTCTCCTGCCTCAGCCTCTTGAGTAGCTGGAACTGTAGGCGTGTGCCACAATGCCCAGCTACTTTGTGTGTGTGTGTGTGTGTGTGTTTAGTAGAGACAGAGTTTCACCGTATTGGCCAGGATGGTCTCAAACTCCTGACCTCAGGTGATCCACCCACCTCAGCCTCCCAGAGTGCTGGGATTACAGGCGTGAGCCACCGCGCCTGGCTTCTTTTACATTTTTTAATATAGCTACTAGCAAACTTAAAACTACACGTTACTGGGTGCCTGTAATCCTAGCATTTTGGGAGGCCGAGGTGGGTGGATTGCTTGAGCTCAGGAGTTCAAGAGCAGCCTGGGCAACATGGCAAAACCCCATCTCTACAAAAAATAGAATAATTTTTCTGCCAGATGTGGTGGTATGCGCCTGTAGTCCCTGCTCAACCTGAGGGGCTGAGGCAGGAGGATCACTTGAACCTGGGAATTTGAGGCTGCAGTGAGCCAAGATCATGCCACTGCACTCCAGCCTGGGGCAAAGTGAGATCCTGTCTCAAAACAAAAACAAAACAAAACAAAAACTGCATGTGGCTCTCGTTAACGTTTCTAGGTAACAGGTGGCCTTGGTCCCAGTTGTCGAATATGCAGTCTGTATCCTTCTGTATTCCCAACCCTTTCTTGTGCCAAGCATTTTTTGTCTAAGCTTGTGCCAGCCTGGTTGGAAAGGAGGGGCAGTTAGGAGAAGCTTCTTAACCACACGCCTGGGACGCTTGTGTTAGACAGCCACCGCCCTGGAAGCCTGGAGGAAGCAGCATTGCCAGGGCTGTCCTTTTTACTGTAAAAGTGTCTCTGCCTCGTTTGGTGGTGATGGAGTTTTGAATTTCATATTTTGATTTCATAGACTTTTGGCCAGCAATTAGGAATACCAGCTGGATTTGGAGAAGATGAGATGAGGGTGTTGAGAGAGGAGAGGCCAGGAGGGGAACCTGCAGGTTGGAGTCCGACCTGAGCAGAGTTGGAGAGCTTACACTTGATAGTTATGTGGCCTAGAGTTAGTTACTCACCCTCTGAAGACTGGGAACAGCAAGCAGTACCTTGTGGCTTTGCCATCAGGATGGAAAGTGTGTGCAGGCGGGTTAAAAACTGTGAAATGCAAAGGTCAAAATGTGTATTTATGGCCGGGCGCAGTGGCTCACATCTGTAATCCCAGCACTTTGGGAGGCCAAGGTGGGTGGATCATGAGTTCAAGTTATCAAGACCACCCTGGCAAACATGGTAAAATCCTACCTCTACTAAAAATACAAAAATTAGCCAGTCATAGTGGCGGGCACCTGTGGTCCCAGTTGCTTGGGCGGCTGAGGCAGGAGAATCGCTTACACCCAGGAGGTGGAGGTTGCATTGAGCTGAGATCACGCCACTGCACTCTAGCCTGGTGACTGAGCGAGACTCTGTCACAAAAAACAAGAGTGTGTATATATATTCAGTAAGTGTGGTGGAGTGCATGACCTAAGAGATGAATAATAGCCGATAAACAGGACATCAGAAGAAGTGGTGTTTATGCAGAAAAGCAGCAGGCTGAAATTTTGGTTGTTGATACGGCTGTTGATTAGATAGACTCAGGTAGAGTGGTTATCTGTTCCTTTTCTGAGGAGCAGTCTTAGGTCTCAGAAGCTCAGAGATACACATCTGAAAATGTGGGGCTCTACACAGGCAGCTCGTGGAAAGGTTGCGGAGGTATGGGATCCTCTAGCCCTGTGGCAGTCCCTGCGCACAGAGCCATCCCTCTGTCCCACGAGCTTGCCACCTATGCTTTGTCTTTATAAAGTTAGGAAACATGAGTCAAGGTGCAGATGAACCTCGGTGTCTGCAAGATTTCAGACATGGGGGGTACATGGAATGTAAACAGGTGTGGGTGACCCGCGCTTTTACCTCACAGTGGATTTGTGTCAGTCCTAACTGCCTATGTTCTGAGTGACGAAAATCTGAGTCAGACTGCCTTTTTTTTTTTTTTTTTTTTTTTTTGGTCCCCCTCCGCTCCCCGACTGGCTTAAGCAAGAAGGGACCACGTCAGTTGTTGTGACTAGAAGGCTGGCTTCAGGACCCAGAGGAGCATGCTAGGACTTAGTTTCTCTCCATTTCTTGGCTCTGCCCTCTTTGAAGGTGGTTTTCTTTTTCATCTGTCTTAGAATTTAAGTCTTTCACTGCTGCTCAGGCTGCACTGCAGTGACACAGTCATGGCTCACTGCAGCCACGAACTCCTGGGCACAAGTGATCCTCCTGCCTCAGCCTCCTGAGTAGCTGGGATTACAGGCACACGCCACCATACCCAGCTAATTTTTTGTATTTTTAGTAGAGACCGGGTTT